GATGATGATGAAAAAAAATGAGTGGAGGAAGGAGTAGGGGAAGGAGTGGAAGTGAACATCACTGTAATAAAGAAAAGGAAAAATAATAATATATAATGGTCTTAGAATAATAGTGAAATGAGAAAGAAGAGAGAGAGAGGGGGAGGGAGAAACATAGTAGATAAGAAATATGTCGATGTGTAAAGCTAATGGATCACATGATTTAAACAACACAGCAACATTAGTTCCATTGACCTTAAAAGGTAACAACTAATAATATCACTCACCAGTACAGTTGACTCCTTCATATCCAGTATCAGTACAATTACAAGTATAATTATCAGCAGGTGAATTCTGTATACACTGTCCTCCATTCATACATGGGCTATTTCTATCACAGATACTAGTGAAATCACAACCAGTACAATTAGAATTAACAGTATAACCAGCAGAGCAGGTTAGATTACAAGCTAATAATCAAGCATAATAATAATAGTAATACAATTGTAATACTTACTGCAAGTGAAGTTATTACTCTCAGTAGCAACATAGTTAGGACCTGATGATAATGTACAGTTAGTGGTAGTAATACACTGACCATTAGCAGCAAATGCTGAACAACAGTCAGTAGAACCTGATCCAGTACACCTCATCAGTCCAGTCTGATTACAAGCACTGTCACATGCTAAGTAAGATAACATTATTATTTTTTAGTTTTTAATTGGCTTACCTCTACATCTAGTATCACCACCAAAACCTTCCCTACACCGATAACAAAAAGTGTTTGTAGGAGCACCAAAAACAACACCGTTAGGAACAAGATTTAAACTACCAGTCCTTCCACTCCATGTACCACTGCTACACTCAATATCAAATATCCTAGTTTGTTCAGGTTGTCCTGGGTTAGGAGTGAATGTAGCTATAAGAGCTAGGGCTTCATAAGTATCAATCATGCTCCCTTGAGCTAGACAGACATATTGAACTGATCCTTCAGTTACAGTAGGAGAGTACATCTGGTTACCATCAGAAATGAATAGTAAAGGAGCCAATGCAGTCTCTATCTCAGCTATTGTTGGTAGAGGACAATCCTGAGCAACTGATAGTGACAGAACACATAAAACAAAGACTAGCACTGCTTCCCTCATCATTACTATCAAACTACTTTCCTGATGACTAAATGAATTTATGACATCATCAACTGCACTGAATATATAGCAACAATTAATAAAATACTTTTTTACAAACACAGTATAGACTATAGATCTAGCTAATGCATGAGTCTAATCCAATAGTTCCACTAATCCTATTGGATCCATACCAGGGTATGGTATTTTCCCACCACTAAAGACTTCCCAACACAAAACACCATAAGACCACTGTGTGTGTGAGAATTGAACCATACTAGATCTAACAATATCATTTAAAACTGACCACATCTGATTTTTCAGAAAATATTCCATAGTGAAGACTTTCAAGTGCCATCCATTTGAACGGGAG